CCAAGAAAGCATACTTCCTTTTTGTGCATTCACCCTAAACAATATAGAACTGACACATGCTAAAACTCAAACAGTGGCAAAAGAAAAAAGATATGGAAACACCTGGACAAGAAATTTTCCATTAAATATTTCTGTTGTTGTTCTTTTTCAAGTTATCTGACTTATTTTTATTTTAAAAATTACTTAAAACTCAAGAAAAATCAAATAAGCAGAATAAAACTACCAATGTAGAAATAAAACTTTTATTGGGTGACATTTTAAGTAACTACTCTTTGCCAATCTTCATGTAACTGCTTAAACTACTTTAATATGACAAATTACTTCAAGAAAAGTCATGAGGCTCCAACAATATGGCTCGACAGAATAAGTGAAGTAAACAGCTACAGATAATATGTTACTATTAGTAGTAGTAAAAATTAAAAAATCAAAATGTAAAAATAGATAATGGTATATGTTGTGCATATTCATAATAAATACACACATACACATGTACACAAATATAACCACACAGCTAAAAAAACTACATAAAATATTTTGTGTATGTATAAAAGCATTTGCTGAGAAATACATGTACATGAGTGAAGTAGTAGGTTTAAGTGATAAAAATTAGGTTAAAAGTGATATGTATGTCAATTTTTAAGTATTTTAAAATGGTAACTAATATCTAATGAAAATAAAAAACAAAATATAATAAAAGAGGAAAACTGATATGTAAAATAAACTAATAAGTTTGTCAGAAACTGAAATGTTCATTCATACCATTGGGAGTTACAGAGAACGAACATAGAAATTAACTCTCTAAATTCTTTCTCCTGTGGCTTTGTTCTTAGGTGCATGTTTCAAAGCAACCACTTCAAAGTGTTCTATGCCAAGATCAGCTCTGCTGAAGTGGCAAACTACAGGTTTGACATGATTCATGATGTATATACTTATAAATATTGACGTGGATGCTCAGCAAGCTTTCGAGATGTCTCTGTGATGTGTGCCACAAAAAAAATCAAAAATTATGAATAGATAAGGCAACAATGAGTGCAGGTAAAATATGTTTGGATGAAGTAGGCTAAGGTGGGGGCCCTTTACAGACATTCTAGAATCAATATAGGTCAAGTATTACTTCTAGGTTTGTGATATTTTTGACTGCCAGTGATGACTCAAGGAAGTTTCTTTGTTTGAGAGTAAGCGGACTATGAGCTAAAATGTGTTTGGTTAAAAGATAAATCAATATTCTCAAAGTACTGAAGTGAGCCTTGATCTTCGGAAATAGTAGGTGGTTTATGATGTTCAAATGTAATAGTTTTGGCTAGATTGAGTAGAGAAAATGGATGACCCTGTTTCTGAAAAAAGTGTACACTTCATTACCTTTATACTCAAAATCCTTATCAATACTACATACTCTACTTAATCTGGTTAATAAAGATTTAGATATTTTGAAAACTCCAACAAAGAGAAAGGAAGAATATTAACTGTGAATAGTAAATGAGTTTGCATATAGAGGGCAGCACTGAACAGAACAGCTATTTATGTGAGAAGAGGTGATATATCAAATCGGAAAAGGATCATGTTCAAAGAAGTTCTGGAAAATGGATGGTCTCTCTCTCCCCCATTACAGAGATAGAATAGAATATTCTATAATAGGGCCCTGCAAAGCTTTGGGGTTCGATTCAATTGCAAATCAGGATTGGGAATTCGATTCATTAACTTGGGCTCTGATTCAATATTTTCATATCTACATCACTTTCAGGAAACTTTAGAATTTAGTTTATAATTCAGTCTATATACTGGAACCTATTTCCTTGTAATAATACTTCTGTACCATGCTTCTTCCAAATGTTTAAGTATATTATATCTTTTGTTTTACAATGCAACAGGTCAGACAGTAAATAATTAATTATAATCTCAGGGATCACAGTTACCTTGTCAAATTATCTCACTGTTCTGAAAAGAATATAATTTTAAGATGGAACATGAGAAACATGATTGAAAATAGCTTATATTTTAAAATTCTGGATAAAAATATTTTGATTAAGGCATATTAGTCTTTGATGACTATTGACTATATTATGTTGTTTGTGCAGTACCTCAATATTTGAAAATAAAATAAGAAAAATATTAAAATTAACATTATAAAAATTCCTTTATACATAAAATATGCTACCATCCTGAACCAAAGTGTTATACATTTCTTTAATGAATCTCAGAACTGATATGTTCTAAAACAAAATATCTATCTATAATAATAAAAGGGTGTGTCCGTGTGTGAGTGTGTGACCGTCATAGCTTCAAGAGGAAAGAACCTAGAAACCTGAAAATTTGCATCCATACTAAACGGACCCTGAGGGTGTTCACCTGGGTGTTATTACTTATCCACATATGTATGTGCATGCGCATCTTTTTAATGAGGCAAGCTAGCAAAAACCACATAGAAAAGAAGGGTTCCTTATATTACAAACAGAAATCACAGACAGACATGCTCTTTTATCACAGACATACAGCCCATAAAAACTGATGAGGCAAGTATTACCACCCCATAATATACCCTGTAGTATAGCAGTTAGATTAACAACTTCTAATATATATAAAAACCAGCGCATTTTGGTAAAAATGCATGCCAACAGTAGTTTTTTATGTCTTGTTGCTTAGCAACAAAAGTATAACATAATATTGTTATTAGTCTATGTACTAAACGTATAAAATGAAATGTATAAATGACAAAACTGGAAAAATATTTGTTGATTCCTTAATTTAGTCTCCATTGATTAAAAAAGGTTTGTTGTTTATTAAAAACATTGGTGATATAACTAAAAGTACCTTAATTCAGAAACAATTTAAGTTTAAAACTGGATCAATATTTTTACTTTCATGGTAAATTTTATGCAGTTGGCTCTAGGCTAGGTTATCTCACACTATATCTTTACTTTAGGCTTATTTATGAACTTATTTAAATCATAGCAACATTCACTACACTTAAAAGGTTTCACAGTCCCTTTGCACCCCCATCACTAAAATGCATAAACCAAAAATGGTTCCCTGGAGAATCCAAAACTTTTGGATCCATGAAATGCAGTTATTTCATTCTAAAGCTGGTGTTTCAGGATATAACTATATTATGGTGAAGTACATAACTGAGCATCTCGCATAAAAGTGAAGTTCCAAACGGAATGGCAAGCCAATTCCATTAGTATCTATCCTAATAAGGAATTATTCATCAGAGTCAGCTCTCTTCATCATCTATCCTCCTACAATAAAAACTAAAAAAGTTGGCAATTGTGTGACCTATTCTTTAATTTCGACATCTTTGTAGCCCATGTAGTTAATTGAATATTTCTTATTATTCAAAAGAGTGTCCAGTAAAATGTTGAATGTGTGAGAACAATATTGAACATAGAAAAATTAGTTCTGTAGTTAAATATTTCATTATTAGATACTGGTCAGCCTTTGGAATGTTTGTCATAGATTCATTAAAAAATTTGTTTATGAAACAATGAGGCTCAGCAATACAAGTATCACATTTGATCAAGCTCAAAATGATATCATAATCAACTATCTTTTACTAACTCCACAAGCTGAGTGTTAATGAAACAATGAGACTCAGCAACATGAGTATCACATTTGATCAAGTTCAAAATGATATAATGATCAACTAGGTTTTACTAACTCCACAAGCTGAGTGTTAATGAAACAATGAGACTCAACAACATGAGTATCACATTTGATCAAGTTCAAAATGATATAATGATCCACTAGGTTTTACTAACTCCACAAGCTGAGTGTTAATGAAACAATGAGACTCAGCAACATGAGTGTCACATTTGATCAAGCTCAAAGTTATATCATGATCAACTATCATTTATTAACTCCACAAGCTGATAATCCAAATAATTCTAGCATGACTAACATAAATAACAAAACATACTTTATTTAAAATACTTTCTGTAGTGCATATTGATGTATAAAAGACATTTTAACTGGACACTCAGCATTTCTCTTTACAGCTTCTTCATAAACATTCTACTAAAACACAAACTTTAACCATTACGGTTTGTATTTTAATAGAATGCTCCTGAAGAAACATATTTTTTCACAGCCAATCACTTATGTATTTGAGTATCAATACCTATACTGAAATTTTAGCCATTTCAGTTTTTTAGAAACCACCGTAATAATATCGGGCAATAATAATAATTAAACAGTATATTATGCAGCTTTATGTGTGTTAATTTTAATTAGTGAAGAAATTATAGTCTATGTGACATCACTGTTGAGGGCAAGAAAGAATATCAAATTGTTTAGATTGCAACAATAAATGTTGTATATTTTAACATTTATCAAACAGTGAACTGTATATTACATCCTTCGCCATATTTTTTTTTATCAAATGTATCATTCAGTGTGTCTAAAATTAGATATTACAGGAGCAAGTAATATGTATTTAGTAATACAGTATATATAAATTGTACATGCTTTTGTATAAGTTAACTAGCCGAAAAATGTGCATTTCCATCTTTGCGACATGTGAGATGACTTAGATACCTTATGTAACATGATGTTTACGAGGTTGGTCAAATCGATCCAACCCATACAGAGATACAGTAGTGAAAATAACAGATAAAATATAAAGTTTTTTCTAAAAACACATGATAATTACTTGGAAGTTATAAAGATTTTGCATGTGAAATTTGAAAATGTTCTGATGCATAAAAGTACTTTTTAATCTTAAAATCAAAATTACTTTGCATGTTGGATACTCAACATGCAAAAAGAAAAAGGTATGATCAAAACATTACTTAAAAAATCTTAAAACATAATTCAGAAACCAGATATTTTGTGTATGAAAGCCTTGTAATGTTTGCTAATAATCTGCAAAATTTTGTAAAGATACACATACATTATCAAAAATCAATTACTCTCATGGATCCCACCCAGCCCATATTGGTAGGGTTAAGTAAAAGACATCAAGAGCTCATGTACATCTATGTCACTAACTTAAAATCCAGATTTACCCATTTCATCCTGAAACCTGTTTCTGTATCATTCAGATGGAAATCACTGTGCATGACATCTTTTGCGAATGGAGACCGAACAAGCAGATAAGCCCTGCTGGTGACCATGTTTCTAATGCAGCTGGAACTTGGACTTGGACTGATGTCAATTACACAGTGTAGAAGAACTGGCTGTAAGAAAAGAACACCAATGCTACTAACATTTTCAATCACTACGTAACTGACATGAAAATGGAACCATATTTGGTTAACAGTACTTAACTCTTTTACACCTGCAAGCAGGTTTAGGTTTAGAGTTTCATTATTCATACACTTAAACAGGAGAAATATTTTAGGACTTCAAAGACTTTAAATAATGGAATTATCCATTTTCCCAGGCCCAAATCCATCTCAAGGTTACTATCTAATTTACAAAAAACATGCATTCACTCAAATCTACTAAACTTGCTTCGTAACTATAAAATGGAAATATTATAATACACTACAGTTTTTAAATTCTTATTAAAAATGCTGTAATTAATGACAATACAAAACCTTTTACAAAACACTGAGCAAATGATGTTTAAAACTAAACAAACTGTGCAATATTAAAGCTCGTAAATGTAAACACTATCATCGTCACTCACCAAAAACACACAGTTTGAGTTGAACAAGTCTATGCACGTATTAAGGCACATGGAACTGCTATGCTGTACTCACTTTGAAATATTTCTCAAACTCTTATAAGATCATCTACTGAAGATGAGTAAAAATTAGGAAATAAATATAAATCATGCTTTTTCATTCTAGAATGACTACAAATTATAACATGAAAATACAAATGTTTAGTCAAATTGCTTAAATCTCATAACATTATACATTTATATATATATTTATTATTTTATTATATTGACCTTTTAGCCATGATTGGCTAACAATACAGAAGTTACAATGACATGGTGCACGTGCACTCATGTTACCGTATTCAAGGATATATAAAACTGGTCTTTACAAAGTGACCTGTCTTGGCTGTGTGGACCAGTATTTTGTAAAATACAGTCACATTTCAATTATAATACATTATATATGTTTATACATAATTACTATTTCCAAATAAGTTCTTAAACTTATTTTTCTTAAAACATAGAATAGTAAACAAAGAAGTTTATAAAACAATTATCTCTTCTAGTTATGAACTTTGTACTCGTTTGCTGCTTGCAGTAGGTTGCTGAGCATTATAAAATTTCACATGTGGAGGACGTGAAATGAAATAATTTTTTTGTAGGTTTTATATATACATTTTAAAATAACCAAAAATCATAAACTACTATATCAATACCATAGAATTCCACTATAATTTATCAAG